TGCCCTTGAAGTGATGTTCCGGTGCCTGGAGGCCGTGCAGATCTGGATGGGGAGAAACAGACTCAGACTCAACCCATCCAAGACCAAGTGGCTGTGGTTTCCGACATCCTGATATAGTCAGTTGGTGCCATTACTGACTATTGGGGGCGAGTCGTTGTCCCCCACAGATAGGGCTCGCAACTTGGGTGTCCTCCTGGACTCACAGCTGTCTTTAGAAGTGCATTTGACAGCTGTGGCCAGGAGGACTTTTTATCAGGTCCGCCTGATTCGCCAGCTGCGTCCCTTTCTGGATTGGGACTCATTACATACGGTCACTCATGCCCTCATCACCTCACGCCTGGACTACTGTAATGCTTTCTACATGGGGCTCCCCTTGTGGAGCATCCGGAGGCTCCAGCTGGTCCAGAATGTGGCCGTACGGGTGGTTATGGGAGCGACGTGGCGCTCCCATGTGACTCCCCTCCTGTGCGAGCTGCACTGGCTCCCGGTGGTCTTCTGGGTGCGCTTCAAGGTTTTGGTCACCACCTTTAGAGAGCTCCATGGCTTAGGACCAGGGTACTTACAAGACCAACTTCTGCCACCAGTAGCCTCTCACTGACCAGTACGCTCCCATAGAGAGGGGCTCCTCAGGGTGCCGTCGGCCAAATAGTGTCGACTGGCGGCCCCCAGGGGGACAGCCTTCTCTGTGGGGGCACCTGCCATCTGGAATGAGCTCCCCCCGGAGATACAGAGGATCCCAGATTTACGCACGTTCCAATGCGCCCTCAAAACATTTTTATTCCAGCAGGCTGGTCTGGCTTGACTCTCCCTTTTAATTTGCTTTTAAGTTTTATACCAATTGGGTGTTTTTAAATTCGTTTTTTGGGCCAAAATTATTTAATATACTTTTAAATGGTTTTTAACTTTTATATGATGTACTTTTATCTTGTGGCTGTTCACCGCCCTGAGTCTTCAGGAGTAGGGCAGTATATAAATTAAATTATATATTATAAATTATAATTATAAATTATATTGTATATTATAATAATTATAAATTATATTGTATTTCTGTCCGTTATAGATGAAGTATGTGTTGGATAGGCAGTGGTTGGTCAGATCTAGGATGTGCTTGGGGGATCTGACCAACCACTGCCTATCCAACACATACTTCATCTATAACGGACAGAAATACAAACAAATAGAAGGAGCACCCATGGGATCACCCCTCTCACCTGTCATTGCTAACCTCTACATGGAACACTTTGAAACCCAAGCTCTAGAAAAATCTGATCACAAACTGAAACTCTGGCTCAGATATGTAGATGACACCTTCATAATTTGGCCACATGGGAAAGAAAAACTGGACAACTTCCTCGCACACCTCAACAGCTTTCACCCCAAAATACAGTTCACCATGGAAACAGAAGCGAACAACCAACTTCCCTTCCTGGATGTCTTAGTCTACAAAAAATCCAATGGCTCCCTAGGACACACCATCTACCAGAAGAAAACACACACAAACCGCTATCTGCATGCACTCTCACACCACCACCCAGCACAGATCAACTCCGTAGCCAAGACACTCATCTCCAGAACAAAACGCTTCGCTGATGAACAACACCTAAAAACTGAACTACACACTCTCACTAACGTATTAACATCCAATGGATTCCAAAGAAATAAGATCACCAACCTAATCCAAAAAGAAACCCCCACTAAAATCCAAGACAGAGAACAAGAAAACGGCAAAGCCCTCCTCCCATACATAAAAGGCACCACAGACAGAATCAGCAAGATCCTCCACAAACACAACATCAAGACAGCATTCTGCACAAACCGAAAAATATCCACCATCCTAAGAAACCCCAAAGACAACATTGAGTTAGAAAATCAAGGAGTATATGAAATCCTTTGCACCGCCTGCCCCACCACATACATCGGACAAACCAACAGAAGAATAAGTGCATGCATTGAAGAAAACAAGAACTCAGTTAGAAAAGAGGAACCAACTTCTTCCCTGGTCCAACACCTCAAAGCCACAGGACATGATATTGACTTTAAAAAGACCAGAACTATCGCCAAAACTGAACACTTTAACAACAGAATAATCAGAGAAGCCATCAAGATAGAAAAACGTCCACACAGCATGAATAAACGAGATATCTCCCACCTGCCAGCCATTTGGAAACCCGCCCTTATTGACAAACGAGTCCCTAACACAAAGAATGACACCAGACTCACACTCACGAGAGCCACACAGGATGTAACCACCACACATCCGCTCAGAAAGCAGACTCAAACCCACACTGATGATCAGGCATGACCACGGACCAGAAGCCAGATCGCAGCTGCATCATTAGCCACTTTAAACCCCTCCAATCCATACATGAAGCAGGCTGACACCCAACATGAAGAGATGGCACGGCCACAAACATGAAGCCAAACAACAGTAACACAGCTCACCAGCTCAAATCCCCCTGCTACTCAGACTAACCCAAGCACAACCAAGCCCCCACCCAAACAGAACACACACCCATCCAATCAGAGCACAGCCAAACCCCCATCCAATCAGAGCACAGCCAAACCCACAACCAATCAGAACATACCTCCACCCAATCAGAACACAGCCAAGCTCCCACCCAATCAGTTCACACCCCCACTGGCACTTAAAGGAAAAAACAGCTGCGATCACACACATTGCTCCTAGGAGCACGAAGCCGAGAACACCAGCCTGAAGATGACGAATGAATGATGATATATATTATATATATATATATATATATATATATATATATATATATATATATATATATATATATATATTCGCTTTGGCAATGTTTCGACAGAATCTCATCTGCCATCATCAGACTTATGCAAGGGGTCTTCTGCAGCAACTGCCGTTACTATTTCAAATCTGGTGCTGGTAGTCTGCTTTGCTGGGATGGCCCCACCTCTTCATTCTGATTGGTTGGGAGTCCCAGTCTGTGTCTATTGGCTTGGCTTCGAGTGTATGATTGCTTTTTCTCCACCAGGTGGCAGGGCTTCATCTTTCTGGCTGGCTGGAGGGTGATTTGGTTGGGAGTCTTGGGGTGTGTATGTCTGGCTTCACATATATATATGTTTTCTTTTCTTTTCATAGGCCTTTATGTGTATTTCTCTTTAGCCATTGAGAGACTAAGGAGACTAAGGAGACTAAGTCTTCTTAGTTTCCCAATGGGCAGCAGGGTGCTTGCTGGCTGCCAGAAAAAAGCCTAGAAACTAGTGGATTGGGATTTCACTGAACTAGGGCTGCATAAAAATCTTGGTTTACATAGGAAGAACCTAGCTAAAGAGAAAATCATACATACATACATACATACATACATACATACATACATACATACATACATGAGAAAGAGAGAGAGAGAGATGATAGATAGATAGATAGATAGATAGATAGATAGATAGACGATAGATAGATAGATAGATAGATGATAGATAGATAGATAGATAGATAGATAGATAGATAGATAGATAGATAGATAGATAGACAGACAGACAGACACTAATCATTGTCCATCTTGAATACATATCGGAAAGGGGAAGCTTGAGAGTTCACAAGGTTATAAACTATAATCTCTTGACCCGTCATGATATATTTACACTGCATGCATAAATATATAGTTCTGCATTTATGACCACTTTATAAACCATCAACAAACTAAAAGGAAAAGAAAGAGAAATTTGGTCTTACCAGTTCCTTCTTTATAAAAATAAATTTTAATTTAATTTAAAAGATTACTTAATGCATGCATTTTGACTAACCTTCTTCCTATGGAAAAATAAAATTAAACCAAAATCTGAGAGGTTTTTGTTTTAAAGGTGACAGTGGTTTTTGTAATAGTAATTACTTTAATGGACAGGAAAAGAAACTTCTAAAAGCTCCATTTCATACATACAGTAAGAGTTGGTGTGAAGGTTGACCTTTAAACTGTGGCTGCCTCTGCCTCTTTTTATTTGACACCATTTAATTTACTGGAGATTGAAAGTTTACCATATAATTCCAACTATAGATCCTTGCCTGTTACTCTCTTTACAAGTCAAGATCATATCCAAACATAAACAGTAGTTTGCAATCCTCCACAGCAGGGGTGGGATCCTACCGGTTTAACAACTGGTTCGCTGAGCATGCGTGCGCCAGATGCACAGTACACACGCATGCACAGTTTGGAGAAAAGTCACCTTCCGCATTACTGCTGGCAAGGAAAGCATCTGAGGCACGGCAATCCACTCTGCTGCGCTAATCAGCTGGGCCTCAGAAATATAGGTGAGTATAATGCAGGGGTGGGTGGGTGGGCCCACTTCAAAGTCGGAGCGAACCGGTTTGCTCACAGCTGAAAGTCAGAGCTAATGGTTCATCCGAACCAGTCCAAATCGGTAGAATCTCACCACTGCTCCACAGAAACCTGGTTAATTTTTCCAAGAAAAATCAACAGTGAGCCCTTTGGAAAATTATTGCATTAAATATGATCCACGTACATTTCTGAGGCTAGATTTTGCAGGATATTGTTGGGCAATGGCAGTTAAAAACCTCTAATGTAAATATCTTCCTAGGGAAAACAAAAGCACAAATATGTCTACATGGAGTCAAAAAGTCAAAATCGAAAAACAAGTTCCAAGAAAACTAAAATTGTTGTCTCAGTAAATATGATGTTTCTTGTTAATGCATTCCAGAGTATCTAGTTAAAATATGATTTCATTTCAAATTTAATATCTAATATATTGAGATACACATTTACAACTGTGAGAATGAACTTTGTTGAATATTGAAGATATTTTTGTTGAATACAACAGGTATTTTAGCTGGGAACTTAACTAGAAGAATATGCAGCAATGGCACAACTAAACCAGGGGTGGGTTCTACTTACCTTTACTACCAGTTCGCAACAGGATCGGGATGTTAAACCAAATTGAACATACTGTATCCAGTTTAATATCATGATTATTTTATTAATTGCTCCTTGTTTCTTTTCTCATCTCAGCATTCTAAGTAAATTAAGTCAGGAAATAAACCGACATGAAGAAAAAAGAAGCATCTTTCCGAAAAGGTAGGAAAAGTTTAGTATATTTCTGTTGTAACAATAGTAAATGAAAACTTTCCTGTTACTTGCTGCCATTAGAGGGCAGGAGAGGATGCAAATCCAGCTGTTAGGTTGAATTGAACCGCTTTCAGCTGTGTTCGCTTGATACAGTATTAATTGCCAAACCACATCCAAGGAAGGAATAACAAAAGCAAACTTAGTGCAGCCCAAATCATCCAGCATGGCTCAAGAGATTGAATTTTAAAACTCAATATGAGTGGCATTAACATATTGCAACAGAACACATTTTATTAAACACCAGCAGAAACTATTATGTTAATGAGTGTATGACTTGGCACTTACCTTCTCTTGAATAGATGCTGGGTTTATTCACCCAATTCAGCTGTACAACTATTGCTTATAGGGAGAAATTACCAGGAATTTCATTCTTGGTTAGCGTACTGAATTAGTTAATCTGAAAGTCCCTCTGAAAGGCTTTAATATTTTCAGTTTCACCAGCAGATTCCAAAACCAGCTTCTAAAACAGAAACTTGATACCTTCTTCTTCTTCATTGCAGACAACCTTGCTTTCCAATCTAATTGTCAGTTGTACCATTTCTGGCCTGAGCCCTTGCTGGCATCCTGCCATCAAAACCTTTGTGGGGAGGGGGACCAATGGGCAATAAACCTGTATGGGGAAATGGGGGGAAATAGGGAGGGGAGATTGACATTGTGAGAAAGACCAGAGATGCACAGAACCAGTTTGTGCCAGTCTCTAAGGCCATGATGCCTGAGCGGCCTGGGAATGGAATGTGAAACATTCAAGTGATTCTCACAACACCTATGCAGCTCTCCATTGGCCAAACTGGTCAAAGAAGAAGGCCTGGGTTGGGATGGTGATGGAATATATAACCTTTTGCATCGGAACCTTAGTTCTAGCCTGATTTTACTGCAGCCAGCAACCTTTAGTAAAAGAACATAGGTTCTTCAACTTCACTTCAACCAAATGGAGTTGAGGGTCTTTCTTTCTTAAGGGATCTGACTGGGGCATGTCTGATACTAATGTTAGGTAGCTGGAGTTGACAAGGCTCACTTATCTAACTATTTTCAGCTGTGAATTTCTTTTACAACAAGGGCTCAGATTCTTTTTCCTACTGAGGCAGGAAGTAAGCATTGAAAGTCAATGACATGTGCTTCTTTGCGAAATGTAATGCAACACTCAGAATGCTTCTGAGTATTTTTGGCCTCTGCAAAACAACACCCAAAGAGTGAAATGAAGTGTTAGGGAGTTTCACAATCTAGTGGTGTCATATCATATATTTTATTGCTAATTAGTAGATTTCCTTTCAGGGGCAAGAGACTTAAGGCAGAAATAATATGGCCCTCCATTTGCAGCAACTCCATTCTGACTCTAGTGTTGAGCACATTTCTTGAAATAAGTGTCATTAATTTCAGTGCCTGGGGCTTTTAGTCTCATTAGCTTCACAGCTGACTCCAATGGTTTGCACTAAGAAGGCAGCAAAAAAACAAAAAACCTCTTTAAAGAAAGCTCAGCTTGTGAGAGTGGTTTTTTTAAAAAAAGAATCTGAATACTTAGTCTGAGAAGAGACAGAAACTGCACAAATATCTGAACGATATATCTGCACAGAGCAAAACTTGTACAGCTGTCTGGATCTGAGAGGGTGTATACGCAAAGGCACGCACTATCTAGGAGTGTTTAGAATGTGTTGTGCTGGCCAAAGCTGGAAAAGGTACCATTTTTTTTGATGCAAGGAAAGAGAGATGGAACTGCCATCTTTGGCCAAGGCTGGATTGTGGACAATGTCACATATTCATGTCTTCCACAAATGGTAAACCAGAGCAATCAGGACACTTGCATTAACCTGTCAGGGGCAAGCAAATAGAACTGCTCATGAATTGTCTCAAGCAGAAACTTTATTGTTAGGCAAATATGTTACAAGAATTTCACCAGATTGAGTGCATTCCTTTGGGAATGGCCAGACAAGGCTTCAGGAATGCCCACTCTTTAACACCTCCCTCCAGTTTAGCTGGAGATTCCACCACACATAACCCAAGTTTCTTATCATTGTCTTATCACCTAAAACACCAATTTGCTTATTTTCTCTTCTAATTTTACAGAACGCAGATACAGAAATCTCCTGAACATACAGGTAAAAATATTTGTTATGCCTATTCACTGTGCACCAATATTCAGAATTCATGCTGGTAACCAGTTTTTTGTTTTGTTTTTTAATATTCCTACTTGATGGTATGGCTTTAGGCTATGTTGGTTATACTTCAATGTTACAGAAATCAATGCGAAATGTTAAACATGATGTTTAATTTAAATGATTTCCAAGAGAAATAAATGAAATCAATTTACCTTGGAGCCAACAGTTTGATACATAATAATGGCTTTTAAAACAATGAAAGTTGAAGAGCAAAAGCGTTAAATAAAATTTACCACAAGTGGAGAAACATTTTTCCTACTTGTCCTTTGATGCCATACTAAAAGATTCCTGTTTTGCAGCTGTAAAACCTACTCATAGTTTGGGCTTCCACCAAAGCCATGTAAATTGAACAGATAAATAAAGCAGGACTGTTTACAAAACTTGCATTTTGCTAATGTTTCGGACTTATCTCTCTCTTCCATTCATTTTGATTGGCAGGCCCAGGATTGAAGGATTTCAACAGCATTGCATCATTGCAATGCAAACTCCACCCCTTTCAAACTTGGGTTGGATGCCACAGTACACATTCAGAAAGGGTGGAAGTCACAACATAGTGCTGCATTTGTTATTTGATCTTTTGAAATTATGGTTACCCAGAATCAAAACAAAACTACCTAAGAGCTTAGTATCATATATTGTTTCAATACTGATTAATCATAGGCACTGTTTTCACTTCAGTGTCAACTTTCTCCCTTAACCACATGATTTTGCTCTAAAATCCCTCCTTCTAACTCAATGAGACAATTGTAAATCATGTTTAAATATATCAGTAAGAACATAAAGTTTGAATATAATTCAACAAAAGCATCAAGGTGTGTAAAATCTGTTATGCTTTGCAATTTATTTCTTGGAGGCAAAGTTAGATGTACAGTAGGGAGTATGATAAAGTTGGTTTGTGAACTGGGGAGAGATATTACATATTTCCTTCCTCCTGGTTATTAAGTAGCCTCAACTATAGTCATCTCTCTCCCAGTGTTTACCCTTTTCATTAGTATTTTGTTCAATAAGTTCTTCTGAACTCATCACTTTGTTATCCATCACCTTCCTATTTATGGTGACAACTTCTCTCCAGGCTTCCAGCTAGAGATATGAGAGTAGAACAGACATCCACTATTTTATTTAAAGAAGAAGAAGGATCACTTTGGCACTCCTCTGCTTTAATAATATTCTGAAATGTATGTTTAATTGAAGATACAATAGTTCTGTTTTTCCTCATTATGTGCCCAGAAAATGATGAAGGACAGTAAACTGGATTTTCATTACTTATTTGTCATTTCCCCTATATCAGTCTATTTAAGTTATTCCCCCCTCCCCCCCACCAGTCCTGGGATGGTAATGGAAATAGTTGCCTAATGGTTAATTAATTTTAGTTCTCTTTACATACTCAGCAGGATTTGTCTTCTTCCTATCTGGGTCTTCCTGGGGTCTTGCCGTGTGTTTCACATATTTTAACCATTGAGATGTTTAAACATCTCAAGATGTAGGAGGAACTTCCTAGAAAAGCCAAGCAGAATCCTGATAAGAGACTAATCATATTCGTGCCTCAGTGATTACCATGATTCATGATTATCCTCATGACTGGCTGATACCATGCTGAAAGGGAAGAGCAGTAAAACAGAGGAAAAAAAAATAGCCATGCCTGTCCCAAATGGACAACACTATTTGGTGGCGATGCAGAACAGAGGCAGGATAGGGATTATCATTGGATAAAAGGTGGATGTATAATATTTTAAAGAATCTTTGAGGAATAACTGCAGCATTCCAAGAAGATGGGAGGCAAGGACATCAGGAGATCAAAGTATAGGTTACAAACAAGGCAAGACATTTTCCTGCCTGAGGTGAAAGACAAAAAAGCACTCTCTCTGTCCCGTGTACAGATAATGAACAAATTGGCAATTCAATCTTTGTTTCTGTCTCCCACTCACACTCAATGAGAACAGACTAATGATGGGGTGCAGGCCATATAGCCTGATACACACAATTGTGTTTACCACTTTCCATTTAGGATTAACACTAATCCATTCACTCAAATTACTATTCCTTCAGACACTTCCTTCTAGAACCTTGTTACTGGCAATGCAATTGAGTTGGAGATGGTATGGTTTGTTTTTTGTTTTTTTAATACAAGATAGGGAATCATTTTGAAGCCATGCTCTTAATTTATATATTCTCCCAAGAGATATAGTAAGAGTGCCATCATTATTATAATTAAGTAGGAAACACATAAATATAATACTCATTCTTGAACAGATAAATCATACCGGTAGATAATTGTGCTAACAGAATTAAGTCAAAACAGGAACTACTGAGTGTCTCAAAGATTTTTGCTATCCTAGTAAATAAATACTAATTAATTATGTACTTCCTGATGTATGAATTGTGAAATTGTTTTTTGTAATTAACTGAGGCTATAGGCTTCAGTTTCTTTTCTTATGATCTTCAGGATCATTTCTTATGATCTTCAAGATCATTTCTTATGATCCTCTTTTTGCTCATATATCTGCTTCAGTTAAGGATGATTCGGGTATACACCGTTTTATCACTCAATATCCACAATACAGTATAAGCAGGATCTCTGCTAATGACTTAAAACATTTTTAGTATTATCTAACTATGATTGTGCTGATGTAACAGGTCAACCTTAACATTGACTTAACAATGACAAGGTGAAACCAAAAGATGCTGTAAATCATTGATGGAGAAAATGGCTATAATCTGATACATGAAATGTCAAAACAGGACTCTTGAAATTTCACGCTCTATCATTTTCAGTGGAATACATTCAAATATTCAACTGAGACAGACAAATAATATTGTGGAGGGATTATCATGACCTATCAGATAATATATACATGCAGGGGTGAAATCCACTTACCTTCGCTACCGGTTTGCAAATGGGAGTGTGTGCGTGCGCGCTCACTTCGCTCGTGACACCTCTGTGCATGTGCAGAGCATCAAAAATGGGACGTGATGATGCCTACGCATATGGGTGGAGCCTCCCGCCACCGGCGCTACCAGTTCACCCAAGCCGGATAGAACTGGCTGCATTTCACCACTGTATACATGACTTTATTAGCTCTGGTTCCTCTACCAAGCTCTGCTAACTATGCACTAATGGTTAACTGGGGAACCATTCCAAATTTCAATGTTTATATTCTTCTGTGTATTAAGAAATATATTATTTTTTTACTGTTTTTCCATAGAATATAAACAAGAGGAGGGTGATGGCTGGTCCTCCTTTGTAAGTATATTTTGGCATTTGAGGCAAGTGTTGCATTTGTTTTAAAGAACATGCAGGCAAAAAATAAAGTCTGTTAACTGAAAATGTATATTAATTTAATTTAATTTAAACATTAATTTAATATGATTGCTCCATATAAATAGAAAAATTTACCCATTTCTGTAGCTATGAAAATGATGGTTTCTCAGTGGTAAATTTTGATGAAGCTCTAGATAGACATAGATTGTGCACTTAAATCTTGGTTTTAAATAACCACAATTGATATGTTTGAAAGAAACGGAATTATAGTAAACATGACAAGACTGCTACTGCACTCTTTGCTTTACTTTGCTAACAGTTTGGGGTTGAAGCTACTATTAAAATGTGACAATGCATATATTGTAATATTGTTTTTAATCTCTGTAAGCCATTCATTATCCATGAATGAACAGTCCTATAAATTAAAATTATAAATAAATCCAGTTTTTTGAAGAACATTATTGTGTTTCAAAAAACCCCCAAAGTATCAGAAATAATTCAACTTTCTAATGAAACCTATTATGCAGTTCAAGAACAGATAAACATGTTTGAAGAAAGTGAATTTAGTGTATCACCCTTTACCAAGTTTCTAATTGTCACAGATTCTCTAAGCAATTTATTTCCCTGACAAAGCTAAATGAAGGATGCTTTTCAAATCAGTCATTGGGGAGAGAGCAGTTAGCATAATCTTGAAAATTAAGGAATGCATTGTTAGCTTTTCTACCACCTTATCAGAGTAATCACTATAAATAGAATCATTAGCTTCTGGAGTATGTGTATATGTTTGTGTATTAAATGTTACTCTTGGTTGTGGCTTGTGATAGAATTCATTCTGTACCCCGAAAGGTAATCTTAAAATGATAGATTGTTTTGGCAAAAGGACACATCTGTTCTGACAGGATGAAAGTGATGATTATGAAAGCCCGGATGAAGATCAGACTGGAGATGGTGTTGATTATGAGACGCCCAATGATCAAGATGGGTTTGATGAAAATGATGCAGATTATGAACCTCCTCCATCAAATGATGAGGACACTGTCCGCAATGTTATATTTCCTCACAAACCAATTCCGGCCACTTCAGACTACATAGGTAACTACTTTTTTAAAAAAAATTATTAAATGGTTTAAAACAAACAAACAAAAAACAAACAAAAACATACATAGGTAACTATTTTAAATCTGATTTGAAGCAGCTCATTATTCAAATAATTGGGAGGGGAGGTGTGGTATTTTGCAGAAGAGATGTGGAGAACTTTCCCCATTGAATAATAATAGCAACAATTTTCTTATTCCTTAAAATATTTTTTTTCAAATTCATACTTTGTTTGCATGCTCTTTTAAGCTGCGTTATGGAATTCATTCATAGTTTCTGAAAAGCCAGCCTAAATATAAATATAAAAGTAAAACATAAAGATATAAAATTATGCATCCTGACCACTACTTATCTAGATTACTATAATATTCTCTACTTGGGGCCTGCTTATAAAAGATATTCAGAAACTGCATGTGGTCCAAAAATCACCAGCCTGCATGCTCTGGGGCTCTCAAAACTGGCAGTACATATCACCAGTTTTGAGGGCTTTGCATTGGTTGCCTTTTGAATCCAATTTAAGGTTTTGTTTTGAACTCTAAAGCCCTTCACACCTTAACATCTATATCAGAGATAGGTTTCAGCAGGTTCTGACCAGTTCTGTAGAACCGGTAGTGGAAATTTTGAATAGTTCAGAGAACCGGTAGTAAAAATTCTGACTGGCCCCACCCCCATCTATTCTCTGCCTCCCAAGTCCCAGCTGATCAGGAGGAAATGGGGTTTTTGCAATAACCTTCCCAAGCCACGCCCACCAAGCCATGCCATGCCCACCAAGCCACACCCACAGAACCAGTAGTAAAAAATTTTGAAACCTACCATTGATCTATATCCCAAAAATGCTTTTTCAAGAGACAACTGGACTTTCTGGTTTTAGTTGCCTCTTGAAAAAGCATCTCTGGGACAACCATGACCTGGATGACCAAGAATCTCCATAGACATTAGGATGTATAGAATTGCTGTCTCCAACCAGTTTGGCCTGACACTAAATCTAATAGGAAAAAACAGGTACAAACCTCCTATTTCTGGAGATTCAGGGACTACTTTTCTATTGCAGTGCTGTATCTATAGAACAGCCTCCTTATGGAGATCAGGTTAGGTTCTTTGTGCTGCTTTTCAAAAGCTCTTAAATTCCAGGCTGTTTTAGAGAGCTTTCCCCTAATTGATTTTGATATTGCTATCATGTTATTCTATTTTTTTATATTGCAGCATTGTACTGTTTTTATTTTTATGTTGTTTGAATTGTAGTGTGTTTTTATTTTTATATTGGTTATATATATATATATATATATATATATATATATATATATATATATATATATATATATATATATATATATATTATTATTATTATTATTATTATTATTATTATTATTATTATTATTATTATTATTATTATTATTTCTATGCCGCCCATCCTCGAGGACTCTGGGCAGGCTTACACCAAAGACAGTATACTAAATAGCATATTGCCCCCAACAATCTGGGTCCTCATTTTACCCACCTTGGAAGGATGGAAGGCTGAGTCAACCTTGAGCCGGTGAGATTTGATCTGCTGATCTGCTGAACTAGCAGTCAGCTGAAGTAGCTGCAGTACTGCACTCTAACCACTGTGCCACCTCAGCTCTTTTTTCCCCCTATGGAAGTCACTAAGAACCATGTTTATTGTGGCAATGTAGAAATGTTTTAAAAATACCTAGCTCACACAACAAAAAGAGGTTAATATATATGCCCTTGCCTTTGTTAGACAGACCTGCAACAGAGAGAGGTAAAACTTTTCTCCAGCCTCCTGTTCCCCCACAGAGGCCTGCCCACAGCCCCATACCAGGAGCATCCCGAAGCAGAGTCCATGGGGTATGTAGTTTCTTTGAAGTTCAAATAGCTTATTTTCATATTTATTTGAAGGAAGTCCAGAATCAAACAGAGATGCCGACTGGGAACAGAATTAACAACATTGCTTTCCTGCAAAGGGCCCACGTGCCTTTGCTTCTCTTTTAAGCCTTATGGGCGGGCCAATCATCTCCAGGCCTTACTCCTAAGTCGTCCCTTTCATTTTAACTGTTTGTGCCTTCTGGCAGCTTTGCGCATGTGTGCACTAGGTACAGGCTCCTCCTGTTCCTCTGCCCCTCTGCTGTCCGACTCTGGAGGCTCCGGAGTCCGTGCATCAGTCCCAGATGCCCATCTCTGCCTCTGACAAAGAGCCCTCGTCTGGGCCTTCCCCAGACTCCAGGACTGGCCCATGTTCCTCCCCAGCCTCCTCACTGTCCAACTCCGCTGCCAGCTCCGCAGGCTGCTGGCAGACCACAACATGAAGAAATGCTGTATAGCAATGTATACATGTCTGTATAATCTTCCTCACAACATTTAATCAAACTGTTTTGAATGTTTGCTTTGAGTATGCTTTAGGTATACTCTGCATCTCAGAGCTGAAGAGGCATTCTTCACTAAAAGTATTCTGAAGTATAAATAAACCCAACCTTGGTTAATCTTGAAAAATAAAGCAGGGATAGGCTAATATTTGGATGAGGAACCAGCCAGGCCATAGTCTATATGGGGATGTAAAAAAAAAGTGTGGAAGAATTGAAAGGCAAATATTTTATATGTTATTGTCAAAATCCCTAAATAAGCATATATAAGAAGTCAATAGGACTCAATCTTAACTTAAAGGAGAGTTTTTCTTTATAGTTTAACCTACTTCAATATGCATCCAGCCATAAAAGATGTAATAGTTAGAAGATCATTCTGATACTTTGTTGGCACCTCTGGAGGGCATCTAAAATTATTTCATGCAAATTTAACTCAAGTTAGGTACCATATTGTTGAATACACTCCTATTTATTTATTTATTTGTTTATGTTAATGTACTTTGGCAGACACCTTTCAGTTCTCCTTCAAGCAATAATGAGAGTTACAGAGACAAAAGTGCAAATCTCTTTAGACGTAAGTGTGCTTTCTTTCTTGCATTTAATGGCTTTCCACTATTAAAAATATAAAATATTCCTCCTGCCTTCCCAGCCTTTCCACAATTCTAATACTAATCTGATTCTTTTTAATGATATCATGTTGAGTTTTTAAATTAACTTTATTTTGTAAAGGGTTTTTGATTTATTTATTTGATTTATGTAGAAAAAAGGGGATATCAATAGCACCCAAAATTGTGCTATTTCACCCAGGCAGTTAAAGCTATTCTTTAAGTTTAACCAATTTTTGAATGAAAGTTGTTATTAGAATTCTAAAAATAAGTAAGATGACTTTAAGCTGTGGAAATAGTGCACAGAAATAGTAGCATGCTATCTGATCCAATATCCTTTTTGCATTTCATTCCAGCACCAGTCGATCGAAGCAAAAAACCACCAATGGATCGACCTGGGCCAACCTTTGAGAGAGAAAGCCTTGGAGCTGGTGAGCGTGTATTCATAATCATCATTTTTTAATTCTGGCCTTTGTTCAGGGTCAGATTTGTTAATTGCCTGAAAAAGAGAGGGCACTGGACAAATATACGGTGCAGGTTATTAGAAAATAGAATGTATAGATGAAATGTAAAGCTTCAGAAAAACACAGTGGGCAAGCAATAGCAAGAGATTTTTTTCAACCGAAGTATAATTCTGATGAGTCTACAGGGAGATTGTTAGAAATAGTGCATGATTCAAACCAGAGAAAAATTGGATAAAGGTCAGAAAACAAATTTAGAGTGGGTGTATAAAGCTGAAGATAAAAAGTGTTATGTCTTTGCAAGAACATTTTAATGAGACTACATAATTTTGTTTTCAACAAGGAAGAGTTTAGTTGATCGATCTATCAAATAAAAGAACAAGAAACGCACCATGCTTAAGGCATGTTTAATGGACTTTTAACAGTAAAGCAGTTTCTCAAAGGGCATTATCATTTCTTTGGCATTCCAGAAAGAGAACAATTCTATCTGCAATATCAATTTCCTTCACATTTAGAAATGAAGCCAAGTTAGTGCAAATTTGCAAGTATGACTTTGACATGTTCTTGCTGCCTTTCTGGAGAATATTGCATCATACACACACACACACACACACACAGAGAGAGAGAGAGAGAGAGAGAGAGAGAGAGAGAGAGAGAGAGAGAGAGAGAGAGAGAGAGAGAATAGATAGATATAGATATAATATAGATATAGATATAGATATAGATATAGATATACCTACAAAAAGGAAAGAAATTGTGTTAAGCAGTGGTGGGTTGCTACTGGTTCACGCCAGTTCGGGCGAATGGGTAGCAGCGGCAGCGGGAGGCTCCGCTCACCTGCCTGGACGTCATGAAATATGATCTGTGCATGCGCAGACGCATGCACAGATGCGAGCGAACTGGTAGCAAAGGTAAGTGAAACCCAACGCTGGTGTTAAGATAATGTACTTGTCTCAGATTGGCCAAATTGCAGATTTATTTATGTCTACATTGCCATCAGTGTAATTATGATGTGAAACATTTCTACAGAGTTATTGTGCAGGGTGACAGCCCCATTCACCAAAAAATAAATAAATAAAAAAAAATCAAATGTGAACAGGGCTGCCAAAAGTTGCAGAAATAGTAAACTACACTGATGGTTCCAGTCTCAATGCTGTGCCCCTGCATTATCCTGATTTCAAGTCCTCAAGCACAGGAGACAAGGGACTCCACCATCCAAATGTTGCTTACAAGAAATTCCTTTAAGAGATTCTCTTTTTAAGGCTTGGCAACATGCAAGTTGCATGGCAACATGCAAGTTGTCCACAGAGCAAGATGGGAGTGCTCTATGGCTAAATAAAACATGAATACAGGTAGTCCTCGAATTACAACAGTTTGTTTAGTGACCGTTCAAAGTTACAATGGCACTGAAAAGAGGGACTTATGACCATTTTTCATACTTAAGACCATGGCAGAATCGCCATAGTCATGTGATCAAAATTTGGATGTTTGGGTACTGATTCATATTTATGACGGTTGCAGTGCCCCGGGCTTGTGCGATCTCCTTTTGCAACCTTCTGATAAGCAAAGTCAATGGGGAAACTGAATTCACTTAATGACTGTGTTAGTAATTTAACAATGGCAGTGGCAAATGTGGCAAAAATGTGGGCAAAACTCACTTAAGAAGTTTCTCACTTACCAACCTAAATTTTGGCTCAATTGTGGTCATAAGTTGAGGACTATCTGTATTTTAACACGTTTTATAAGAGATAAAGCCATTATTAGATTTTTGTTTTCTTCACAAAGACCTGGTAATATTCTTCAGCTTTTTTTAAACTTAAATGTAACCTTAGCGGCACTGTCTAGTTTTCTGAGTTCAGTGATGAGTAACTAACTGTTTTTTCCTCTTTTCATTCATTTTTTTTTCAACTAAGGCAAACGAGCTGAAATGGTAAGAGATGGCTTTATTCTAGTGAATAAATACAATATTTTAGTTTGTTTTTTCAATTTTTTTCAATGTACCCTTGTTTTTCTTTCTTTCTTTCTAGGCTCTAACACCAAAGCTCAGGTAACCATTTAATTTTCTGTAAAGTAAACCATCAGAATTAGCCAAAGAAACACAATATGAAGAAATTCACTCCCAAATCCTCTCTCTTTCTCTCTTAGATCTCTGGCAGAAGACTTGGCAAAGATACAGAAGCCTCCTCTGCCACCCACTGAGAGATTCGAAAAAAATAGTCCTTCCTCTAGAAAAATGCCACCACACATAAAGTAACTATATCTGTAAAACATAAATAATTCACCATTCAGCAAGTGCGGTGCGCTGATGGGCTACATCTCTGGAAAACAATTCTATGGACTTCTTGTTAGCAAAGTATCTTCTAATGTTCTTTTGAACATGCTCTGAATACCACATTTTGATTTTTAAGCTCTAACATAAATAGCAGAATGTCACATGACTGAAATGCAAATAGGTATTGTCAGCAGCCCACTTAGAAAGACGGGGATATAAATGATATAAATTTCACATAGAATTTCCTTCCTGAGCTGTTTCCCCACAATTATCAGCACTGTCCCTAATATTACTGGTAGTAATTTTTGTTTAGTGACTACAATTGACACTCTGTCATTAAGCAAAATGAGGGCCTCCAGGGAGGATGGGGAAGGCCTTTTTTGCCCTCCTCAGGCTCTTAGAAAGACTCTGGAGGCTGGGGAGAGCAAAAAACGGGCCTTCTGGTTTCACCGGAAATTGGCAAATGGGCCTTTTCCGGCCTCTGGAGGGCCTCTGGGGGAGGGGGAGACTGTTTTCGCCCTACCCAAGCTCGTAGAAAGGCACTGTGCTATCGCGTGCCAGGAGCGGGAGGGAGCGGGGGGGGTCATGTGCACATGCACAGAGGCGGGGCACATAGAATTATGGGTGTGGCCATGTGTGCGCACTCCCTACTCCTGGCACGCGATGGCAAAAAGGTTAGCCATCACTATTATAGAGCATAGTTTGCAAACCACAATGTTCAGTTCACACTGCATATTAAACCAAAATTGCTTTGGTTGATTTTGGTTTAATATGTTGCATAAACAAAGGTACTAAGTAAAGATTTCATAGTTCAGTTTTCTTGTTTAGGTTCCTAAGGGAACAGCAACTACTGTAATCTTTTGTCCAAAATGACTTTTCCTTGTTTAGAACAACAGCAAATTACTTGGAATCAAAATGCCATTTTAATTACTGATCATGCAATTTTATTACTTAGGATTTATTTTTTATTTGATTTTTTAAAAACAGATCAACTATTTTTTTTAAATTAAATAATACTTGCAGAACATATTAGTAATTTTACTTGTTTTCTAGGAGCAATCAGATGCTTGAAAGACAGACAGAAGTAAGTATATCCATATATAATCTCTCTCTTTGAAAATGTCATTTGTACATGTTCTCAATTTAACAGGTCTTTTTTTTTTTTTACATTTTCTAATTTCACTAATCCTTGAACTAGTTTATACGATCTCTTTGCTGCCTTAATATACTACATTCCAATATGGTTAACTTAATGGATAAATTAGCAGTACATTTAACAATCTGGATTTTTAAAAATATATATATTTAATACATGCTTCCTACCCTGGAAGATTTAAAAACAGAACCTCTCAAAATTATGCTGCCAAGTGTAGAATAGAGAGTATAAGAAGGTGTCCATCTTGAAGATGATATAGATGTTTTGGCTGAGCTGGTAAGCATTAGGTTCCTTCCACATTTAAGGGCTAGACTGACTTGAGATCATCACCAACAATGGGGAAAATGCCTATATAATTGCAAGCTAAGGCAATTACTGAGTGGACCAGATCAGGAAGGCAAGGGTCATACTTTTACAGCTAAAATAAGATTATTTCCTTCCTCATGTACCTCAGTCAGAGGGGAATTTTCCTGAGACTCCACTTAATACAGATAGTCCTCGACTTATGACCACAATGGAGCCCAAAATTTCTGTTGTTAAGTGAGACATTTGTTAAGTGAATTTTGCTCCATTTCACGATATTTCTTGCCACAGTTGTTAAGTGAATCACCGTAGTTGATAAGTTAGTAACCTGGTTTGTTAAGTGAATCTGACTTCTTCCTTTGTTTGTCAGAAGCTTGCAAAAGGTGATCACATGACCCCAGGATGCTGCAACGGTCATAAGTATGAACCAGTTGCCAAGCATCTGAATTTTGATCGCATAATCATTGGGATGCTACAAAGGTTGTAACTGTGAAAACGGTCATAAGTCACTTTTTTCAGTGCTGTTGTAACATTGAATGATCACTAAATGGACTGTTGTAAGTCAAGGACTACCTGTACTATCTCTCATCCCAGGATTTAAGGAACATTTCCATCTTTTATGTTTAATCAACTGCTTCTGAATACTGTATTTGTATCAAGTATTTGTACCCTCTCCCTAGGTCTCTAATAAGGGAAGTCCTATAAAGGCAGCTTTGTGGTGTTTCTTTGAGAGCTTGAAGACAGATGGGTTCCAATTGGCAGGGATTCCCATCTTCCTGCTATTCAGGATTGCCCTTCTACATTGTAGTCAAGGTTCCATAGCACCTTGATGGTTTTCTCCCAGTTCCTGAGGTGACTCTGCTGCTACCCTGCATAGGAGACACCTGTATTCTTTTCTTTCCCCACCCTTATAAGCAGATGCAATGAGAGAAGAGTAAGAATGGGAGCAGATGGCTGCCTTGCTGCCATTTTTCATACTTCTACCTGGACTAGTTGGAGAGAATGGTGATCGTTAAATGGGACAATAGAGGCCAGTGAAGTGGTGTAGAAATGCTTCCGAACATATTGGTGTCTATATGGAAGTATCTTTCCTTATATTGGCACAGAAATAGTATCCAGGCAGAATAACTTTAGGTCACTGTGTACCTTTTGAAAACAATGATGTCCCAATCAAGTTGATGCCAAAAGGGATTGAAAAAGAAGAAGACTGATCTTAAATATCCATTCTTTCTTAGTCCCTAAATAAAACATTTCAAAAATTACCTTTAGCAAAACAAAGCTAGACCTAAATCTATGGTTAATTAAACTACTGTATGTAGTTTTAATTATAGAAGTGATGATTTATTGAATTGTCTCAATTCTGGCAAATTGTTGGTTATTATGACAATTATTGAGGGAGGGAGGGAGGGAGGGAGGGAGGGAGGGAGGAATGAAGGAAGGAAGGAAGGAAGGAAGGAAGGAAGGAAGGAAGGAAGGAAGGAAGGAAGGAAGGAAGGAGAAACATAGGAAATTACCTTAAAAGATTTCTTTTGTCTTCTAAGATAATTCCTATTATGTCACTCATATGTATGTATGCATGTATGGATGTATGGATATGCACATACATATGTCTATGATACATTCTTTTGATTTCTGTAAATTTTGTACAGATTATTTGATATTCTAAATAAACCAATTCAGTTAATCAATAAAGAACTGGCAACACTAATATTGGTTTATGTTATATTTCTTTCAGATGGAATCTGACAGTACGTAATGTTTTATATTTACTCTACTATTGTCATACCCAGTGAATCTGTTTTCTATTAAATATTAGCAGTAAAGAATGAGTCACTTTCCAAGTGTCTTTCCAAACACTTTCCAAGAAAAAAAAACAAAAAGTTCTGGAGAAGGAATTGAAAAAAACTTTCCATGGGAAATAAGCAATTTGTACTGAACCACTTACATGATGATGCCACTACTGTACATTGCTAACAATGATGTGTGCTAGGAATGCTATCAAACTACACATGATATGAAATTAGTGGGCAAATTTGGAGCCAGTGGTAGCCATGCAATATCAATGGACTTAGTTTATTAGAAGTCTTATTAGATGTTCATATGGAAAGCATGAATAGGACCTACTGTCCTTGCATAATTATTTAGCTACACCATATAATATAGCTCATATGAATGCATAAGAATGTAAAAAAGTCCTTCTGGTTCAGGGCCAACCCAGCTTAATTCAGCATTTTGTTTTTCACAATAGTAAACCTGATGCCTTTAGGGTGCTCAACAGCAGGAGATGGATATATTCCTCACTCTTACCATTGCTCCCATGCAAATTCTATTTGGATGCAGGCTTCCCTCAGTGAGAATTAATCTAGAACCTTCCAGGACCAATAGCTCCTAATAAGCCTGTCCTCCCAATTTTTCCAATTTCTTTTTAAGACCATTGAAGAAAGGTGATTAGTATATTTGCGGTTATTCTTTCCACAAGTTAACTGTGCATGATGTGAAGAAGTATTTCATTTTGTGTCTTTTAAAGCATCTTCCAATCAACTCTATTGTATGGGGTTTTGACAAATGTTTTGAGGTAGCGACAAAACCTCCCTATTCATGTTCTCCATGCTATTTATATCCCTAACTCATGTTTCCTCTCAGTTGTCTATTTTCCATGCTAAAAAGTGCCACATGCTGTAGCCTTTACTTGCAGAGGAGGTCTTTGAGCCATCAGCTAATTTTGGTTGCCCTATTGAGTAGCTAAAGATGGCTACCAGACCACCAGGTCCATAAGCAGTATTCTAAGTGAAGCTGTACCATAGATTTGATAAGAATGTTACAGTGTTAGCGTTTTTATTTTCAATCCCATTTCCTAGTGATCGTTAACATGAAATTGGTCTTTTTCACAGCCAGTGGATTTTTTTTTTTTGTCAATTGTTTGTTTTTGCTCTTCTCTCTAGATATTCTCCAAAGGCCAGTTCCACAGCCATCACCTCAGCCCTTCAACACCTTTCCTTCCAGAACCACTAAGTCTAATATAATTCCTTTACCACCCAAAATGAAGACAGATCTACATACAGAAAGGTTGGTTGAATGAACTATCAACCCAAAGTACAGACTCAACTTATGTTGCAATTATTAGTCATCATTTAATTCTATAAATAATATTCTTTTAATAATGATGTTCTATGCTAGTACTCTACAGTAGATTAGTATCCATTTTAATAGTTAAGTAGTCTGAAAGAAGAAACTTTCATAATAATGTATTTAAGATTTTTAATCTAAAGATGTTTCACTGCAATGGAAATCCCATAAACCAATAGCTAAGGCTATAATAATTTATTATTTGTTTATAAAGCTAACAAGCAAATTAAATTGTTTTAGCATTGGTCTGAGACTATCAATTATGTCTTTGTTTCTATAAAGAATATAGAAGAAAATACAGCCTCCCTCTATGTTCTTTATAGAAAGGGTTTGATGCTTGCTTTAGCCATAGATCTACTGTACTTCTCGTATTAAAAGCTTCAAGGCACATTTGAAAGATGTACAATGAAGTATAATTTTAATATTTATTCACACTATAAAATTTCACTCTGAACAATAGCAATTTGAAAATAGTGGCTATACTCTTATTTTGGAAATCAAAATACCATCTGCCCCAGTAAAATGATGATCCCACCTCTGCCTAAGAAGATAGCAATGGTTCATCTTCCATTCCTTTCTTAAGAAACCAATGCTGGATTCAATCTTTGGACCAGAAATTGGGCAATTTTGGTCCTCTGTCTAAGCTGCCCATTTTAGGGAAAGTCATTCAGAAATTGATCATGACACAGATTCAAAGAGCCCAGAATACATCTGGACCTATTTCACTTGGATTACATATTTAGTTTTAGTATTGAAGCAGAATTTATTGCAGGACCAATAAATCCTGGGAACAGGATGGTCCTTCTTGAACTTCCAGTGACTTTTGATATTATCAATCATGATATATTTCTGGATGAGCTAAGGGGGTTGGGATTGGGGACGCAATGTTGTGACGATTTTCCTTCATTTGAGGTCATTTCAGTCAATGTTGTTGGAGTGGAAAGACTTGATCCTGTGCCTGGCTTTGCACAGATTCTTAGGAAATTGGACAAATTTTAAAAAGTTTAACCATTTATCAATCAAGTCTCTAAATTATTTCAGTTATTATCAAAGGAATGTATATTACCTAAAACTGAAATGGTAATATATTCCATTAAAACATCTCTTGTCTTTCTGACATGATCCAGCTGCATCTAAAGCTCCTAAGGTATTATCAGCATTAGAATTTGCCTTAGATTACTCTAAAACTACATTCTTTTAATATAAGTATTGTAAATATTAGTTGCTAGAATAAAGGATTGCAGTAAGCAATTTCTGGTTTACATATAGTGAAGATTGAAAAAAAAAGGGACAGCAAAACTTAACTACTGTTCATATAGCTATAGATCAGTGGTTCTCAACCTTCCTAATGCCGCGACCCATTAATACAGTTCCTCATGTTGTGGTGACCCCCAACCAGGGGTGGGTTCTAAATTTTTTTACTATCGGTTCTGTGGGCGTGGCTTATTTTGTGGGCGTGGCTTGGAGATCATGTGACTGGGTGGGCGTGGCTAGCTGGTCATGTGACCGGGTGGCCATGGCTATGTGTATAGGGACTACTCAGAGGGCTGAAAAAAGTCATTTCTGACAGATCCTCACACTTTTGACTGGTCCTCACACTTATGACCATCCTCACATTTATGCCCATGCAGCATTCTTAACAACCATGTCACTCATTTCACAACTGCTTCTCTTCACCATGGTGATAAGATAGGGCAAAAAACGTAAAATGTGAGGCCAGTCGTAAATTCGAGGACTGGTCAAAAGTGCGAGGACCGGTCAAAAATAACTTTTTCAGCCCTCTGAGTAGTCCATGTGCACAAAAGGACTACCCAGAGGGCTGAAAAAAGTAATTTCTGACAGGTGCTCGCACTTTTGACCGGTCATCATTTATGCCATCATTTATCTTCTAGTCCAGAGATCTCCAACCTTGGCAACTTTAAGCCTGGCAGACTTCAACTCCCAGAATTCCCCAGCCAGCTATGCTGGCTAGAGAATTCTGGGAGTTGAAGTCCACAAGTCTTAAAGCTGCCAAGTTTGAAGACCTCTTGAGCTAGGGCTTTGGGGCCAGCCTTTTGGGGAGGGGGTCCCATTTGGAGCGACCCCCTGCCTCTCAGGAAGCATCAGGCCCAGGCAAAGAAAGTTGCCAAAGTTGGAGATCTCTCGACTAGAAACCTCCAAAGGTCCCTTCCAACTCTGTAATTCTGGTATTGACAAGCAAGCACAGTTAAGCTACTTAAATCCTCCAGAGTAGGGGTCCCCAACCTTTTGGACCTCAGGGACCACCAAGTTCATAATTTTAAATTTCGCAGACTACTAATATGAATCCAGTGTGCCACTTGCTGAAGCACCTGGACGCCCAGTGATGGGATAGGGTCCTTCAGGCACTCCCCCCCTCTTTCTCTCTTTCTCCCCCCCCCCTCTTTCCCCCTCTCCCCCCCCCTCTCTCTCTCTCATTTTCTCTTTCTCTCCCCCCTCTTTCTCTCTCTCTCCCCCACTCTCTCTCTCTCATTCTCTCTCCCCTACTCTCTCATTCTTTCTCTCCCTTCTCTCTCTCCTCCACTCTCTCGCTCTCATTCTCTTTCTCTCCCCCTTCTCTCTCTCCCCCAGTCTCTCATTCTTTCTCTCCCCCTTCTCTCTCTCCCCCACTATTTCTCTCTCTTTCTCTCTCCCCCCCTTCTCTCATTCTCTTTCTCTCCCCCCCTTTCTCTTTCCCTCTCTCTCCCCCACTCTCCCCCACTTTCTCTCTCTCATTCTCTTGCAGGGGGCTGATCTGGTGTCTGCAATGGAGAGCAAAATCCAGCTTCTTCTCTCTGTTGTAAGTGCAGCATTAGGATTCCGCCTTGGTATATTTGCGGTGCAAGGCAGCCCTCGTTTCCTGCCGACTCGGAGCGGTAAATAGCGTCTGGTTTGGGGAGCAGCTGGATTTTGCTCTCCATTGCTCTCTCGGCCCCCTGCAAGCTCTCATCTCTCGAGAAGCCCAACCAAAGTTTCCCGCACCACTTCAGGGAGCACTCCTCGGGAGACGAGAGCTTGCAGGGGGCTGAGAGAGCAATGGAGAGCAAAGTCCGGCTGATCCCCAAACCAGACGCTGTTTACCGCTCCGAGTCCCAAGCAGCAGGAGAGGAGGGCTGCCTTGTGCTGCAAATATACCAAGGTGGAATCCTGATGCCGCACTTACAGCGGAGAGAAGAAGCCGGATTTTCTCTCCATTGCAGACACCAGATCATATTGCACCACCTGCAAAAATGCAAAAATTTCCAAATGTAGCCCTGCCCTCTAACAGCCCTCCTGATGTTCAACTGTTGTCTCTCAAGGAGGATACTTGGCCATCTTCATGCTTGAAAGGATTCTACAGTGTAACAGCAGATGTCTCCCACCTTGGCAGCTTTAAAACTTGTGGACTTCAACTCCCAGAATTCTCCACAATTCCCCAGAATGGGCTAGGCGGGAGTTGAAGTCCACAAGTTGTAAAAGAGCCACAATTGCCCAGCCCTGGGCTAGGGGAGGCTGACGCCGCGTGGGTGGGAGACGGGGCAAGGCGAGGAGCAGATGAGCCAGCAATTTAACAAACGGTTCGGTGTGCTGCAAGGCCAATAAATTGCAAAAAAACACTGAACCGTTTGTTAAATTACTGGCTCGCCCACCCCTCGCTCCACCCCACCCCCACTATTTATTGGCAAGGGGCGGGGTGAGCCAGCAATTTAACAAACAGTTCGGCCAAACAACCTAGAACCAGCAGAATCCCACCACTGGTTTGTTTCCCTCTAGCCATCAGCTGGGACTTAGGAGGCAGCAATAGATTGGGAGTGGGCGGAGTAAGCAACTGGCAACCAGCGATCCAACAGAGGCAGAGGGTGAGAGTGAGTGAAGGTGTGGGGGGGGGCGAGAGAGGGCTTTGGCGACCCCTGTGAAATGGCCGTTCGACCCCCAAAGGGGTCACCACCTCCAGGTTGAGAACCGCTGCTATAGATTAAGAGGGTACTATATCAGAATTCATCTGTGTATCCTAATCAGTCTTTGTTTTCATTATAGCATTCCCTCAAGTGCATCATTACCACCACGACTTCTGCCAAGTATGTATTTTAGAACTATTTTATGAATGTTGAGTTTGCGTTTTGAGATAATCTACAGATACTGAAATCTAGTATTTCATTAAATTTTATCAGTTGGAGAACCATAAAATATTTGTATTAATGCAAATTTATAAAGCATCAATGATCTCTGTGTCACAACAGAATAAGACAAATAAATTAAAGACATGAAAGAAAAACAGAAATGTAAATTCACCCAACAACTTTCACTATTCTTTTTTGTAGCTTCCCATACTTGCAAATCAGGCACGATGTCATGTATTGCCTTTTGTTCTAGATTTGAACTAGTGATATAATTACACAGTGATGGGGATGCATATCGCTACTGTACATGCCAATAAATATGGGTATTAAATATATGAGCAATTAAGGTGACCCTTTAAAATGTGTGTGGGGACATTTTACATATATAGTGATGAATCATTATTCCAAAGAATAAACCATAATTAGGGTAGAGTAATAAAATTAAGGAGATGCACATGTACCAGTGGAAGCCAAGATCAACAAATAATCTACCCTGTACTATATAACCAGATAGCACTGTACATGATTTATCACAGAAGATCATTATCTACTTGTCTTTGCTAATTCTACTCTGCTGGCACCAGATAGAGGAGTAACATCTGTATATACATTACAGTGAAAGAGAATATCTGTGGTGGATTTTACAAATGGAAAATTTTGAGAATTTTTCCATCTCTAGCAAGCTATCAATGTATTTGTGAGTAAAAGTTTGTGGGTAATATAGTCTGTTTTTAATCAGTTTGTATACTGGATTGACAGCAAAACAGCATTAATCTAAATCTTGATGTCAATATGAAGTACATCTGGTTCACTTGAAATAGATTCCTTAACTATATCTTAGTATGAATTCAGTGGGCTAACTTTAATTTCTAAACATATTTAATGTTTCTGAAGGTAATCTCTCCAGAACCTTTTCCAAAACCCCAGCAGATGGCAGACCACCATTACCAATTCCCAATAAACCAAATGCAGAATTTCCTAAAGCTGACAATGAAAGAATGGAACAAAGTCATAAGGTATACAAAAATTAAATACTGGAACATGTAAGTGATTTATTCAATAAAATCTCAGACCCAGCTGATACATATGAAATCAAGGGAACAGTATATGGACATAAGATGTTAGGTAAGGTAAGTTGAGGTCAAGGCAAGTTGAAGTCAACAATAAAGACCAGCAGGAAGGTATCTTCTTCTATTATTTAAATAAAATAAAAAGAGGCTTTGTAGGAAAATGTGTAAAGAAACTTGTTATATGATTCCCTCTACACAAAGTAGAAGCTTTTTTATAATATCTGTGGCCTCCAGAGGTGGGAACTAGATCTGTAAGAGGCAAAACATGCCGTCCTCCGAAAGTACGTGCCCATTCAGTCACATATTCACTATCATAATTGATGGATAGGTTCTTGCCAGTTGTTTACTCCAGAAGCAAATAAACCAGATTTAACCAATCATTTTGCTTAACATGCCCTGCACACATGAAATCAGGACACCATCATTGGTTTGGGGTGGGGGGACTAAAACACAGGCAAAGGGAATCAGCAACAGGGACAACAAATTCCATGGTGGCATAGAATTATAGCAATCCAAAAATAAATGGATAATATTTTAATTTAGTAGTTAGCTAACATATTTGATAAATCTCAAGGAGACATTGGTATTAGAAAAGGAAAAAAGCTAACACAGCTAAAAACCCTGTCTAATCATGGATTGGTGACATGGCAGAAGAGAATACACAATCAAAACTCAAGTCAAACTAACACCCCTCTTAGTTTAAACTGCAACTTCTTAACTGTAGATTTTCCCCACAGTTTCTATTGCTTTCCTCATTCTTTGCTTTTATAAACACTATAATATTAACTTACAAGGCAGAAGTATTATAAATTATAAATTGTATTATATACAGATAGTTCTTGACTTAGTACCACAATTGAGCCCAGAATTTATACTGCCAAGTGAAACATTTGTTAAGTGAGTTTTGCCCCATTTTACAACTTTTGTAAGTTGACTTTGCTTGTCAGGGGATCACATAACCCCGAAATACTGCAACCTTCATAAATATGAACCAGTTGCACAGCATCCAAATTTTGATCTTGTGAACAGTGGGATGCTGCAACGGTTGTAAGTGTGAAAAACATACGTCACTTTTTTTCAGTGATGTTGTAAGTTTCAATGGTCACTAAATGAACTGTTGTAAGTTGAGGACTACCTGCATTAGAAAGAAAATATGCAGAACGTCTGTATAGACCCTTAAGCAAGGACTTAAGACAAAGCAAAGCAAAAACAAAGGTCTGGCAAAAGCTGGGAAGTATGGAAATAGTTGACTAAACTACAGATGGGTACAACAAGATTCAGAGATACTCTGAACAAATGAGACTATCCGGTGGCTTCTGCCCTTGCGATTGTGATGACAGGCAGACAACAACACATATGTATACCTGTGCTTTGTGTCCTGATTAGTGTACACTTGAGGATCTCATGGCCATGAGATGCAATTAATATTGCTAATTTCTGGCCAAGATCTGTTTAACTTGTACATATTTTAATCTTGCATTTTATATTTTAAATGTTATGCTGTGAAGCATGCCTTGTTTTAATCATGATACTTCTGCCATGAATAAAGAAAGAAAGCAAAGAAAAAATGTAGCAGGGAGAGGAAAGAATATGAAGGAAATACCTCTGGTTATGGTGAAAAGTTCCAAATACTTGGTTGGTATTTTAACTTAAGACAGAATTTGGACAATTGCAAAGAAGTATTATTAAGTAAATACATGGCAGGTGCAAAATATTTTAGAATGGCATCCAAAAGCCATGAAGGATAAACAAAACTTTTTCAAGAAGATACAATATAATTTGTTTATTTACATTAAACATACATATTTAGCAACATAAGCAAAATCAACTCTCAGCAGTTGAATACTTTCAGGACTTTAAATGATCTGTATGCTTTTCTAAATACATTTCAAAATTCCACCTCCATGATTATGATAATAAACACATTTTTCCATTTCTTTTTTCATTTGGCTGACTGATCATCAGGGTCAACAAAATCAAAAGTGGTATGCTGCTGATATCACCAGGTCAGACGCAGAAGTTGCACTTAGGAATATAAACCAGGTAAAGATTTCAATGATTATTGTCTGTATGGATCAGTATTTTTCAACCTCAGTAAATTTAAGAGGTGAAGGTTTCATGCCGGTGGGGCATTCTGAGAGCTGAAATCCGCACATCTTAAAAGTTGTTGAGGTTGAGAAACTCTAGTACATATGTATACAAGAAAATTGCTAACAGCTTAAAAATGCAATCAAAATTTATCTGTTATTTATGTATTTTTAATTTATAAAGCTGTTGTGATGACATCTTTTCTCAAAAATGTTTTAATATGTTACTTTTTTAGGATGGTTCATTTTTAGTAAGAGACAGCTCCAAAAAATCAGTTGCGCAGCCGTATGTTCTAATGGTGCTTTACCACAACAAAGTTTACAATATCCAGATACGTTATCAACAAGAGACTCAGGTCTACTTCTTGGGAACTAGCTTGAAAGGAAATGAGGTATGTTGTGGCATCATTCTCTTAACTCCATAATATTTCCACTATGAAAGATTATTAAATGTAAGACTTTCTATGTCAGTCAAATTGCTCCTCCCTCAGATGTTCTACAAAATCTGTATATATTAACTGAGCAGAATCAAATCTATAAAAATGATGATGTTATCTATTAAAGGATATCCAAATCTTGGCCATTCAATGGGCCAGGTCTCTTCACGTCTTCTGATCCAATATTTCTATAAAAATATTAGTAACTAAATAAAGATCCATTGATCTGTCCTCAACTAAATAATTCTATAAAATGAAATTATTACAAAGTAGGCAAAATGAAGTTGTTTGAACTTTTTTTCTGTCACAAAAGTAACTGAAAGGTATTTTGCAAATTACACAGGACTTCACTTCAGTGACTGAAATTGTTGATTACTTCAAACGAATGCCCCTTCTATTGATAGATGGAAAAGACCGATGTTCAAAGAAGCAATGCAAGTTAACATATGCTGCTGGAAGTCTTTAGAAGCGAAAATGCATGAAGATCAAGTTCAAGCTCAACTTTCTCTTTTCAAGTTAGAGGAGTAACTGATCTGTGTTGGCTGAACTCTAAATTCATATTAGAGGAGTTATCAATTTATATTGGATGAACTGAGATAATTTCTTATCTGTTTTTTCATATTATACCATAAAGGTTGCTAATATATTATCTCTCCCTCCCACCCCTTGGTATGAAAGCCGTTAAACACATTCATTTTTCACTGAAAAAATTATATGTGTGATATCCATTGATTAAAATATACTCTGCAGACTGTCTTATTATTACTGGATATTTTTTTTCAAGATGAAGAAGTCTTCTAAACAATGATTCTATATACATTTTTCATATAAAGGTTTAGTAACAGATTCATTCAAGAATAGCTTAACAGATATTTCCTGATGTTATCAAATCCAGCATGCTTACTAATGTTTGTTCTTAGTGAAAATATTTGTTTATTGAGTTCCATATACCATAGCACTGGTTAATTGTGATCATTAAGAGTCAAAGGATTTTTGTGTGTGTGATCATTTTCTACTTAAATATTTGTTAAAGAACTGATTGTTTCTCTTGCAGTCTTTATTTGTATTTTTCCAACAAAGCTATTGTATATTATGACTTCTCACAATATAAATATGTTTTTATTTTTTATTGGTCTTCGAACTATGAAATGTACATTAATTTCTGTATCAATCAATCTGGATTTCATTCAAACTGGGTATAGGAAACCCTACCCCAGTGGTATAGGGTTTCCTGCAAGACCGGAAATTGGACTAGAAGACCTGAAGGTCACTTCCAACTCTGTCAGTCTGTTATTATTGTTATCTAATTTACCTTTAATTTTAATTTTAATTAATTTTTTTTAAAAATTTGATTTATATGCCGCCCTTCTCCGGAGACTCAGGGCAGCTTACAATGTGCTAAGCAATAGCCTTCATTCTTTTGTATATTTATACAAAGTCAGCTTATTGCCCCCACAACTGGGTCCTCAGTTGTGGACCCGTCTGACCTACTTGCCAGTCTGACCTACTAAGTCTGACCTACTAATTGCCAGTCTGACCTACTAAGAAGTATATTTTTTTATTAAACTGTCAATTTGTATGGATTGTATTTTTGGTCATTAACGTATTATATCTTGGTGCCCGAGTTAAACTGAAGAACCGTTCTTATTTTTTATACTACTAAAGAAGTTGAAATGACACCAAATTTTTAATGTGGACATTTCATAATGTATCTTACAAAATGCAAAAATGATGGACTGGGTAGAATGGGTCAATTTGTTGAAAAAAATATTTTAGTGACTTAAACAAACTATTTGGTCAACAACCTTTCATTATATTTTTCTTGAACAGAACCAGAATATTAAGATTTTAATTTTTTATTATAGTAGAAGAGCGGTTGAATCTTTGATCTGCCTGTTGCAGTGTAAAGCTTGTATATTCTTATCTTATCTAAAATAACAAGTTTATTTTCACAAGGTTTTAAATGAGGAACGTGGTGGCTCAGTGGCAAAGACACTGAGCTTGTCAATCGAAAGGTCAGTGGTTTAAATCCCTAGTGCAACGTAACGGGGTCAGCTCCTGTTACTTGTCCCAGCTTCTGCCAACTTAGCAGTTCGAAAGCAAGTAAAAAATGCAAGCAGAAAAATAAGGACCACCTTTGGTGGGAAGGTAACAGCGTTCCGTGCACCTTTGGCATTTAGTCATGCCAGCCACATGATCACGGAGATGTTTTTGGACAGCGCTGGCTCTTCGGCTTTGAAATGGAGATGAACACCATGCCCTAGAGTTGGGAACGACTAGCACATATGTGCGAGGGGAAGCTTTACTTTTTTATTTATTTTTTATTTTAAATTACTAACATTACAAACAACATACCTAAAATAACAAAAATATTTGAACACCACACCAAAGCATATTGACTGTTATCTAATTTACCTTTAATTTTAATTAATTGCCAGTCTGACCTACTAAGAAGTATATTTTTTTATTAAACTGTCATTGCAATTTGTATGGATTGTATTTTTGGTCATTAATGTATTATATCTTGGTGCCCAAGTTAAACTGAAGAACCGTTCTTATTTTTTATACTACTAAAGAAGTTGAAATGATACCAAATTTTAATGTGGACATTTCATAATGTATCTTACAAAATGCAAAGATGATAGACTGGGTAGTGTCAGGAAATTACAAGGAACCACAGATTTTCTCTTGTCTAAAATACAACGTTTGGAGGCAGTTGTCTCCAGTTTATTCATTTAGATGAATAATTCACTATTAAATGTGATTAAAACGAATTATGGAATGAACCAAGTCTGAAGCTTTCTATATTAAACAAATCATGACTAAAACCAACCTCATAAAAAGTTATGATTGGAGGAGAAAAAAGGAAGTAAAAATTTCTGAGTACAGGACTAAAAGAGGGAAGGGGACCCATTAGCGCAAGCCCTCAGTGGTTTGGTCCCAAGCCACTACATTGTCCCATGCAAGTAGCAATCTGATATTTCAGATGAATGATGAACGAGCCCCTTCCACCGCAACAGAAAATATTTCAATGGAATTGATTGTATGCTGGTAGTTTTTTTCTCCAGGAAAATAATTATGAAACATTTACCTGTTAACAGTTGCATTTATACAGGTCTATTTTATTTAATACACAATTGTTTTAACAACTAAACATTCCAAATTAAGAACATAAAAATCAAAATATTTTATCATTCTTATTGAAACAATATTGAATATTTATTAGATTATTTATCTAAATAAACAAATACATAGCAAGAAATGTATACTGGTGTTTATATAATCTGAAAATAGGCATGGCTTTTATATTCAGAAAAAAATATTATTTTGTGACAATATATGCTGGATCTTTTTTCACAATACAGAAATATTATCTTAAACAGAGGACTCAAGTATTTTTTTTTTAATTCTCTCTCTCTATCTCTCCTCTTATGCAATCCAAACCCACTGCTTTCATGTAAAATGTTGGTAAAAAGAATAAGAAAATGCCAAAAGCATTTTTATGTGATGCCAGTTTATATATCAATATTTTAGTAGCTCAATCTTAAAAATCTATACTTCTAACTTCTGATACTCAATTATAAATATATTCGCAGTAATATTTTAAAGGACATTATGATAAGAGATCATTAAAATCAGTAAAGTTCCCTTTCACTGAACCATTTTAAATATTGATGTTTTAGACAACAAAACTACTGGAGAGATGCAAGCAAAAATAATACTCAGTTTTTATTTTTGAACTCTTCTTGACTCTTTTCCTCATTTTCTCTTGAAGCATCTGCTTGAACAGGATGACTAAAGTTCAGAAGAAGATCACAAAGCAGGAGTTCAGTTTTTACTGCAAAGCAACATTTCATTTTGTCTTTAAAAATCTGTACATTGTGTTGTTTCTCTGTATTATCTTATGTGCATTTATTGCTCCAAGGGATAATAATATGACTGCTTCCACAATGCAATTTGGATAAAAAGGATGAGAAAGAAAAGCAATGGCTTTTAATGTTATATTGTGATCGGGTATGCATGACAATATTGTATTATATAAGACAATATTATAAAAAACCTGAATGCAAGAAAAAGGAAAAAAATATTATTCTGTTATATTCTGCATGCTATTTTTAAAACTTCCCATGTGGAATAGTCAAACAATGACACCAACACATTCCAGTTAAACCTTCAATTATTAAACTCCCAACTGTTAAAGTTGGAAATCTGTAGGAAATAACTGAAATGGAAGGGAAAGCTAGAGGGAAACTGTGAAATTGGAAAGAAAATACCCTGTTTCCCCCAAAATAAGACATCCCTGATAATAAGCCCAATCGGGCTTTTGAGCGCATGACAATAAGGCCAAGCGCTTATTTCAGGGTTCAAAAAAAAATATAAGACAAGGTCTTATTTTTGGGGAAACATGGTAGTTCTGAAAAGATTTTCTTGAAGCGCAGGTGAATATATTGTGAGGAATACTAGGGGCATTCCTCTTTTCCCACATAACATTTTTAAAAAACCCACCACAATTAAAATACATGCTTGTAGATTCTAGTCATTTTAAGGCCATCTATTGATTTACGCAAACTGTGTGTACAGTACATACAATATTCTTGATTTCACAATTAAACATTTGTGTTAATATCACTAATACCATGGTTTATTGCCATTATCATAGGATTTATGTAGAAATTCCTGACACTATGCTACAAAATGGACTGGAAGGGGCCACAAGTTTGGCAAATCTGAGTTATGCTTTGAAGCAGCTAAAGACAAATTGTAACTAAACAACCCTCTCCCATTCCTTAATGCTATTATTGCAAGGAGTGTTTGCATTAAGTAATGTTTTCTGCTGTATTTCTACAGTGATTCCAATAGCACTTTTTTCCCCTAGATACTGGTGACCTAGATGCAAAACCTTGCTCAACCACAGAAACAATTCAGCAATTCAGTAGCTCCTAGCAAATTGGTATATCTAAGACTAATCTAGAGCCAGAATGCTACCATAAACTGTTAAAATTGTTTCTGTCTGTCTGTCTGTCTGTCTCTCTCTCTCTGTGTGTGTGTGTGTGTGTTTGTGTTCATTACATTAAAATATTGACTTAGCAAGTTTTAATAGCACAGTTTCAGCAACAGAACATTTAATTTACAGCTTCTACTCTCTTGCATTATAAAAAAGATACTTTAAAAAAAACTAATATACATTTAGAGCAGGGTTCTCCAAAGTGATCAGTATCCACCCAAGACTTGACAGTAATATCCATTATTGTAATTTTTAGTAGTGTTACTATTAGTTAAAGTAGCATTAATTAAATTATTTTCATATAATAAATGATTTAATGAGCTGAAGAGTTTTGGGAACCCCATTTTAAAGAAAGAAAAATATTCATATCATTCTTCATTTCATATCTTTATTCTGACTGTGGCATTAGAAATTACCAATAAGTTTATTCATTTCAGATGATACTTCATCCAAAATTCTGATTGCATTATCAATAACAAGCAAATGATCCTTATCATTCAAGGACATCTGAAAAGAAAATAGAAATAAAAATCAGAATGAAGTGCAACAACTTTTTCCAAACTTTTGAAACTCCTTTGGTAACTGTAATGGTATAGGAATCAATTTGTGTAAAACGTGAGCTAAGTAACAGTTTGTTCTTTAAATTCTAAATAATGGTAGTTTATTTGTACTTCACATGCATACAATAAATTGCTAATAAAATGATAAGATCTTCAGGGTGATTAAGTTTGATTCCTGATTATTTTCTAAGCAACAGAATTTAAGACATCGTTTACAATTACCTTTGCTTCTTACAGTGTATATTTTCCACTTCCTAGTCTAGGCCAGATTTTTTTTCAAACTATGTTCTGCACAATCTTAGGTTTCCATGAAAACTTGACAGGGTTTTGTGAGAGACAGAAACAAAAAAAGAAAAAGAAATAAATTCACTTCAATGTAGCCAGTTAGTATTAGTAGAAGTCTCTTGGTCAGGGATTGTAAGATTATAATAATTATAATAATAACAAGATGTTTCAAAGTTTGAAAATCCTTGTCCTACTACAGCCATGGCATCTTAATCAAGTTCTAAGCAGGTTCAGTACTGTTCAGTTCTTTCAAGATTAATAAAAATCAACTAACCTCTGCGGCCTAGCTTTCAGAGAAAAGATAAATATGAAGAGAGATTTTTATTTACAACTGAAAGCACAGTCATATAAGTATTTTTATCTGAATATGGCTTAAATCTTCCTTGCTTGACATAATATTCTATTTATGTGAAAATGGGCTGATAATTTTAATAGTATCTGCAATCACAACTGAGGTAGTTGAATAATCAGTGGAGCTGAATGATGAAATACACTGACAGTCTCGATATAAAACATCTATCATGAAAACAGGCAGTTCATTATCTACTTCTTTTACCATAAATGCAAGTAAACTTGTGTCCTATTGTATCTCTCTGTGTGTCTCTCTGTCACCACCGTATAAAAAAGATGTTGAGAATCTGGAAAAAGTGCAGAGGAGAGCAACCAGGATGATTAGGGGACTGGAGACTAAAACATATGAAGAACGGTTACAGGAACTGGGCATGGCTAGCAGTCTTCCAATATTTGAGGGACTGCCACAGAGAGGAGGGGGTCAAGCTAGTTTCCAAAGCACCTGAAGGCCAGACAAGGAATAATGGATGGAAATTGACCAAGGAGAGATTTAACAGAGTTGGAAGGGATCTGTTAATCTCTCTCTCTGTGTGAACATATATATGTCAAAAACAGCAGCAACTGATTTTAATTCCCTTAACCACACGGGGGCACCATTGGTATTTTAAGATATTAAAGTATATTCATTCTGTTAGCTTCATTTTACTGTACTACATCATGGGAACTCAAAATGTAAATACTTTTATTAAGAGATGAATCATGTGATAAATAGTAAACACCCTTGTGCATTTTAACCCACAGAAACTGTTCTTTTGGGTCAGGTTCTGCTTAAAAGAAAAGGCATTCAATTAATTCAATTGTTATAGAGCTAACCTGCAGATTTTCTTGTGTATGAGTAAAATATAGACTGTTAATCTAAAATATACTAGATATATTACAGGATGGAAAAGTAAAGGCATTCCGGTTTTAAGTTATGTATCATGTTTTAAGGATTTCTGTTCGTTTGAATAACTTTTGAGGAACCTGCAGGAAATAGAAATTAAGATAAAGAGCTGCAGGTCGAATTTGCTGTTTGCAATTCGTTGCTACTATTGAGGCAAGCCAGAGATCAGATTGTAGAAGTGGTGGACGATGACGTTCTTCGTGAAATAAATTCTGAAAGGATGTTTAAGGCTTTTCCATTCCCTTTTGGGGAAGCGAGCGAGAGCAAGTATATCGCATGTCCCCGTGTATTTTTTAACCCCTCTCTCTGTGCACACTGAAAAGCGATAGCGAGGAAGAAGCGCGGCGATAGAAATCAGCCGTGTAAGTCCGCCGTGAAACGGCTTCTCTCTTTCTTTCTCCCGCTTTGTTCGGCCACGCGGGGTCGCTCGAAACAAACGCTTTTTTTTCTAAAAATCGAACGCGGGAGAAAGAAAGAGCGAAAAATAAATTCGAACAAGGCGGTCTTTGAAGATTCTGAAGAGCGACCCTAATTCTTTCCTTAGACATTAAGCTATTACCACGGGATATAAAACCAAGCGTTTATTCCAGCCGGAAAGGAGTTTCCCCGATGCTTTTATGCGGAGAGCAGGCTGCGGACTGGAGGTCGAAATGACACAAGTGAAATGGGAGACGATCCCTCCGGTGTCTAAAGGGTTGGAAGCGTGTAAAATAAACAATTTCTTATTTCGAGAATGGCCGGTAGACTGAGCACAGAGGGAAAGGCAGGACCCCACCTCGAAGAAAGCGAAGTCAGTGACCCACTACGAGGGGGTGAAAAGAGAGATGAGGTGAAGGAAGAATCGCGGGGTGGGGGTGGGGGGAGGCTACACGAATGAAGGGAAAAAGAGAGAAAAGCAGGAAGAACAGAATGTCTGGGGAATGCAAGAGATAAGTGCATGTGCATTTATCTATAGCAATGTTTCTCAATTTCAACCATTTTAAGACCTACAAACTTCAACTCCCACAATTCCCTGGCCAGCGGTTGCTGGGGAAATCTGGGAATTGGAAGTCGAAGCATCTTACAGTTGCCGAAACACTGATCCATGGCAAAATAAAAATGAAGGCCCCTTTAAACCATTATTGAGTCCAGGGAAGTTAACCACACACTTTGGTTTCAGAAGTCCCAAAAGTTGCCCCTCATGTTGACAACAGATGATCCAATGGATTCAATCTCAAATGTCTGAAGCCAGGACAGACACTCGAGGACCAGCCACCATTTCCATTCCCTGCCTGGTTTCTGGGATGTGCAGGCCAGCCTTTTTCTGCCAGCATCAGAACCAATTCCAGAGCCTGAACTGGTTGCTATTTACAAGAGCAGACAAGTAAGAAACTAGTACCAGTGAATAGGGCACAAGAGGAGTAGCATGCAATCAAAACAACCTGCAAACTATTCATGGAGAATTCTGAAATTTGAATATTTTGAAATATATATTTAATATATATTGGAATATGCTGCTTAGACTCCTACCTTCTGCTAATCAGAAAAACAAGTATTTCCAGTACCAAAAACAACATTTCGTTTTTTAATCTGTTCCAGCCCCCTTCCCCAGCCCTCTTGCAGTTTTCTGTATGCTGTGAAAAAAATGGCTTTTCTCTGTATTCTAGAGTAATTTCATAAATGCCCATTTTTAATGCTTGTTCAACTGGACTTACAGTTCATTTCTTTCAGTGGAACTGCATTAAGGTAACAGTTGGGAAAAATTTCTCCAAACATGAGCCAGATTTTCACTTCTCATTCCATTCTTTGTAATCCAGAAAGTCCACTACGTTCCAAACCCCAAATACTTAAAGCAGTTTACAGATCTAGACCAGGGTCCATAAGCCAAGTAAACTTGCTGATATATCCTTTCTGATTTTGAAAAATTTGAAATGTGTTGTTTTCCTATGTATGAAACATTTGACATATGGGAAACTATTGAAAAATATTGTGATTGAAAATAAAGTAAAATGCAAACTAAACGAATTCCTCATCTTTCCTAGGTATGGAACAATCTGAAGAGCAGGGCATATAGAAAAGTTTACAATAGAATAATACATATGTGAACTTAATCATTAGAATTCCAAATTTCAGGGAAGAGTGAATTACACCTTGAAGCTAGATCAAAACCAATGTGGCTTGCATAGAATACATATAATGTTTTAATATATTTACACCATTTAATAATCAAGAGGCTGTGTTCTGAATCACTGGGGTGTCTGTATACAGTTTTCAAAGGGCCTTAATATAAATCAACAGTAATCACATCAATGGTTTTAAAACAAAGATATAGAAAAAAGACATTACAAATTCCATGCATTTTTAAAATCACTAATAAAGACTTGATCCTTTGATGAAACATGGTATTGTATTTCTCATTAGGAATTTCTAGTACATAAAAAACTACATCAAAGAGGTCCATTCACATAAAGCAACCATATTAATATAATGTAGTCAGAGATATATTTTATTGGGTGTCTTGTTTCTTTGCTTTCATGTGTAAGAAGATAATCAAATTTAAGCTTGTCTTAAAAGCATGTTAATATTTCTCCTTTTAAAATAAGTGCTTTCACATTCTAATAGCATCTAATTCAACTTGTTAATATATAAGATATATCATTTACACACAGCAGTACTTAAGCCCTCTTCATACTCACTCATTATATTGCCTTAATCAGACCATGACAGAAAAGAATACAAAACAGGATTAGTTCATTTTGCCTCAAATTATTCTCCTCCAATACTTGCTGGAACATTCAAATCACTCTTGCTCCTGAAGCTCTTGAAGTTAAATTAAACCCATTTTTAAACTAAAACAAATAGCACCAGTAAGAACATTTTGAAGTTAATTACTAATTTGTGGGTAATACAGCAGCTTTTTTGATGCCGGTAACTGTAAAACCTAAATCCATATAAACAAAATGACCTCTTAAATTCAAATGTACTTTACATGTGCAAATATTTGTGTTCTAGTTTATATTATTTAGAGTTCCCTGCTTGCAGTTTTACCTTAGAGATGGATTACTGTTTTACATTGCAGTTTTGCATGAAGATATTGGGTTTCTGTTTCTTTTGATATATTCTTTTCTAATGTAGGGATTTATATTAAAAAGATAAACTGCCTAAGAAAGCTATATTCCTTCTGTTTAATCAATGCATTCTTCATTTTATTATCTCATGGAGCTGATAAAACTATGCTTTAGTTAAACTTATCGAAAGACAGTTCATTTAGGCATTACAGCATAATTTGCACATTTTTGTGCCAATTATATTTTGAAAGCCTAAGTGTCAACAGGTAGGGTTGATTTACCACTACCAGCAACCAATATTCCCACTATTCATTACGTATTTGCTATCTGCAAAGAAGTAATCAAAATAGGTTTTGTCCATATACAAAGATTGTCTTTTTTTTCCTAGCAGAATTGTTAATATTAATTTGTAACAATAATGTATTAATCTTGTATGCTGCCTAAATCTCAACAGCTCTAGATGAATTTATTGAACATAAATTCAGTCCAATTTATGGTTGCAACAGGATTATAGCTATCCTAAGAGACAACATGATAAATTTACATTATTATATTGGCATATGCTATACTATGCACTATGCCCAGCAAGAATCAGAGAATCCCTTATTGTAATACTCTTTCTTCTATTATTTTCTATTAAAGTTTAATGTAAATAAATTGACTGGCAAATAACATTAGCTGCCATTTGTTTCTAGAGAGCAAAATACCAAGGGTAATGTTACTAGTGGAGATACATGCTCAAACTGGCATTATAGGATGATTGAACATTTTTTGACCTGAGAGAAGCAGAAACCAACGTGAAAGATCTGTATATTTATGCCTTTTATTTCTTCAGTAATAAGCACACTCTAGAAAATATATCATGTCTAATGCATTTCTTCAAAAAAAAAATGATACTATTGAAACATTATATAATGTAGAATGAAAGCTACTGTAGACCCTAAAGAAATATTTAATATATTAGATCTTTGATTTATGTGAATATTATACATGTTAAGAAAATATCCATGTTATCTTATCCAGCCGTGCAGTCCTTCCATATGAATATATCCAGATCTGCATGGAATTTGGTTCCACCAATATTTCATGATGGCTAAAAATGGCTTAGATGTAATCAATAGTATCTGTTCCTAATTAATTACTGGCAATAGAAAATAAAGTTTATAATGATTAATTTCTGAAATCTTCTCAAAAATTATCATTTATATGTCTTAAGCTAATCATAGGCCATACACAAGAAGTAGTTTTCTTTATTCTTGTCTTTACCCAGCAAATAATTGAATGTGTGAATAGCTTTTGTATTATTACAGTCCAGCTAGCTTTACCAACAGGATTACACTCACAATTGTGGATATATAAAAACCTATATAATACTATTTTGTTCGTGATAGGAATAAAGCTTATCTATTTACTATTGTTTGGAGGGATTATGGAGCAGCCAGTTATTTCTGGATTTATTCCTACAAAATAAGCTTTCATCCGAGATCTTAAAATTGTTATATTCTATTATTGCTTTGGTAATATTATCGAACTATTACATATTATACCTCATAGGGATATAAAGCCTTAGAAAAAGAAGTTTATATGTGGATGGATGGGTGGATGATTTCGAATCCAATGTTTTCTTAAAATTGTTAGGAAACAAAAGAAGCAACAACATAAGATTCACTTCAATTATGAATATATATTGTATCTACATGAGGTCCACAAAAGTTTCTATGGCAGCCCAATTTTCAACATTCAGAAAGATGAAGTACTGACTCATATTTTATTCATACAATCATTATGTAATGAGGTATAATGGGTATAAGCTGCCTTCTGGTTCAAAAGTAACATTTTATGTATGCCAGTTGCTGGGGAGTAGATATATGTGAAAGATTTGCCATTATGAACAATATGAAGAATTTGATGGATTTTTGGTTTGATTCAGAAACGCTTTCCTTATGCAACTATGTTAATTTTTAGAAAGTTATTTAAGAAGCTAGCAGAGACATACAGCTTTCTGGTATTTACAAAATGTTTCAAGTTTCGGTGTAGGGAAAATTAATATTATTTAATATCTCTAGTATCTTCTTTTTATTGCAAAATAACTCCCAAGGTAGTTTTTTTTTAAAAAAAAAAAACCCAGTCTAATAGCATCAATAAAAAATTCTAAAAATATAAACTACAAACTATTAACAAGAAGTTACTTTACCTTAAAAGCCAGATTAAAAAAAAATTGTTGGAAAGCTACTAAGAAATGTATAATTATTTCCCTCAACACTGCATATCCTGCAGTGCGTCTCATGAGCTGCACTCATTAGCAGTTGACTTCTTTATAGAATTTAAGATGTTGGTTATCACCTATAAAGTCTTTCATTGGGCTT